ATTTATTTATTATTGCAATTTTTAAAACAAATGAAACTACCGATTTTTGTATTTTCAATTGTTCGCATGAAATTAGAGAGAATGTCGATAAGAAAGGGGTGGGGCGTTGAAAATTCATGACAAATGTTTACTTTTGGTCTGCTTTTTAAACATCCCCCCTCCCCCATTTCAATTCTTTTAATAGTAATTTTTAACTTTTTGAAGTTTGCTTCTAATATTGTACACTTGATTAGTAATTTAGAGAATGTTTATGTTCACATTGCTTCGATAATTATTTAATAAAAGAAGGCACAAACGATATGCAAGAAACAGTCAATTTTAAGAAAAGTTGTTATTATTTTAAATTGTAAAAATATGGAAAATCACCATTTTTGCATGAATTTTTTATTCAATTTGTTTGTTTTTTTGTGTAGATAATGAAAAACAATATGGAAACTCTATACGATAACTAGTGTTATGTAATTTTTCTCTTTAAAGGTGTCAATATGTAAACCATATGCTTAACCGTAGAGACTTTAAGTTCCTTTTTTTAGTCCTAGCCTTTCGACCAATAGAGAGGGTTGAAAGGATCTTCGATAGAGAAAGTAGCAATGTGTGATTTACATAAAAACAATAACAAAATTTATTAAATGGAAATTAGTGAAAAATTGTAAGAACAATTAAAACGGTACCAACAGATAATTTCTTTTACTTTGGTCGAAATGTATTACGATTGATTGGTCCTTAGTGCTCCAGTCAGTATAAAATTCACTCTTATTTGCCAATTACCTTAAATATCAATTGAAAGATAATGTGACATTCAAATAAACTTCATACAAAAGTTTGCAAACGTTGAAATATTATTAATACAATGCTCAAGACAAAACAAGACTTACGATTTCAAGAGATGTTCCACGACAATCTGACCTCGATCTTACTTTTTCGACAACTGACTGATGCATCAAACCTTACGTATTTATTTAGTTGAATGTGATATAGTTAGAAGTCCCTTCGCATGGTCTTTTCCTTTTTAGAGGGCGTATGCTTTTCTTACATTACGTACTCTTTTTTTGAAATTTTTTTGCTTCTCACTAACTTGAGTGATAAGCGTTTACCTCAATCCTTAAGGTTTATTGCTATTCACTTTCAGCTTCTCTTAAAATATATTTTAAATAATTATGTGAAATAATTAAAATACATTTAGACATTACACTAGTGAAGAAATTATCAACAGTTATACGTGAATGAGTGAATTTATACGAACATTTAAAACCCTGAAACCAATACAAATTTTTATTTTTTTCTATTTTCATAATTTTTTTCGTAAATCCGCCGTAAAAACAAAGATTGTAGAGAAAAAATTACTCTAAAATGTTGATTTTCGATTTTTCGGAGCCAAAAAACGAGGGGACCGCGAAAGTATAAAATTACGCTTTTACGTAACAGAAGAAAGTTTTTACCATTCTGTAGAGTGAATTGTGAAAACAAATAAAACTACCCATTTTAGTATTCTACTCTGTTTGTACAGGGTACCCTGAATTGCAGGGTAATTTTTATGCAATTTTCCTTTTCGTGTAGAGTTTGTCATGGAACGTAACAGTTTACGTTATAATAAAACTGACAATTCCAATTTCTAGTTGTAAAAAGATTTAGGACTCGGCTAAGTCTTTTTACATTCAACTCATATACAAAGTAAATGAATTGACGATCGTCAAAATCATCACAACTTCCTGACGTGCACAGTAATTTCTGTATCATTTAAAGCAGAGGAGTTTGAAAATGTCCAAAAATGTGACAATCGTTGCATAGTTTGCAAGTATATCATAAAATCGGAGGCAGCATGCGCCGAGCAAAAACATTTGAAGTCACGTGACATTGAAGATATCGTTCAACCATTTATCAATGATTCAACCAACGCTGATCCATCCATCAGACAAGTGGCTTTCCCTCTGCAAATATTATTACATTCAAAAGCATAGTTAAATGTTGTTACTAATTTGGAACGGTAATTTTACATTTTTACTCGACTGGAGCTAATGTAAATAATCCTCAATCCATAAAAAAAAGTGCAATATTTTATTATTGCACAATCATCCGCGCTCCAAAATCTGCTACACCCATTGCAAAAATGATAAGGTCACAGCATGACATTTTATCTATTTCTGCCTTCCTAAAGGAATACAATGTTTTTGTTTACAGAGAATTACATAAATGTCCATTAGTGAAAGCAATTATAACTGATTGAAGTTGGGCACTCATAAATTCGATTATGTTTGAATTAAATGGAATAAACATTAAAAAGCATTTAGAGATAGAGTTTACTTGTCCTACCGATGAAATTGTTCTGGTCAGCGTAATACTCTTGCTGAGCCGCTGTGCACATACTATGCATCGAATAAGCAGAATTGTAAAACGTGAATTTTCTGAATTACACGAAATAAAATCATCTTTATTAGAGTGTATGGGCTTTACTAATTTTATGTAGACATTTAAAAAAAAGTGAATTCAGTTTTCAGAAGTATCTCAGAAATAGTCCTCACTAAAAATAAAGAATCAATAGAAAAAGCATTTGATCTGTTAGGAATGGGGAAAGAAGAGAGTCTTAATGATTTGTTGAAAGAAGCTCAAGAACTGAAGTACAAAGAACTTGAATCGGATGATGAATTATTGTCCAATCTGGAGCTGTCTCACGATCGATCATGTCGATCCAAATATATCACGTGTACCAAATGCCTGTGTCGAAGCACGCAATAAAATTTACAAAAGAAATAATTTTAGAAGACCAAAAGCGAAAGAGAGTTAGCTATGTATACAGGGTACTTTGTGAGTAAATCTTTGCTGGATAAGAAGTGGAAAATATAGATAATAATAGAAGAGTGCAAATCACATATATCCCATTATATTTAAAAACGGCGTCAAATCCATCGCAAACGCAAAAATAGGGACAATAACAAACCGATATAACTCTTTAAAAAACAAAGGAAAAACGACATCTTCATATGAAAGGAAAGCGTATTATAAAGATTAACCAAAAACTTAATAAAGATGTTGATACAGATATTGAAGATGATAAGAAACAAACGAAGAAACGAAGCTTGAATACAGAGAATAAATATAAACTAACGCGTGCAAAGAAATATACACCTACTAATAATTCAGCACGCTTTGCCAAACAAACAAGTGATAACAGAACTTTAAAAAAATTAATCAGAAATCTACGTACATTCTACAGTTACTTAACACTAACTACTATACAGTAGTTACTGTTTATTACGAGTTCATTATTTATAATCTTAGAAAGGATTATAAGTATTCAGAATGTACAGAATCTGCACACATGTACATTACAACTTCGCCTTCAATGTAAATACACCGTTTATATAATTATAAACCTATAAATGAATAGAATCTGTATAAAATGCAATTCATGCGATTTTAACATATCTGTCAAGCTGCTGATCGATCTAAATCACTATAGCGAAGACACAAAATTTTTCTATCAACGAATGTCTATAGTTATAAATTTGTCCGTCTTCGACCATCCAAGAAGGTGGCTTCCAGCCACTATGAAACTAATACGTATTACTCACATCCTACAGCTTTAAATTTGAATGGACAGCTACTGCTTGTAGTCCATCAACAAAGAAGCTACATACTGTACAGATGACATCCACTTTAATCTCGAAAAAACAAGACGCAAGTAAAATCTCTATAATTCCATGACAGCCAGAAGCCACCGTTCTATAGTACCGAAGACAAAAAAATTTGTAGAAAAAAACATGGTATTTCCGATCCAACGACCTAAATTGACTTAAAAGTCAAAAAATATGTTGTTTAAATCCAACGAATGCGTGTGTGCATATTCATTAGCCCACAATGACCGTAAGCTACTACTTAAAAATATTTAAAACAATAAAAAAAAGCAAAATACAGAATTTTAGATATTCGTACACCCATTCTTAGCTATGTAAAAAGCAATCGAGTCGAGTTTCTAGGTGATCTCAACGACAGAACGAGAGTAACATTTTTCTGGTACCTCATCCGACTTTATTTTCAATATTTCTTGTTTTTTTAAAATTTCAATAACTGTCTTACGGTCATTCTAGAATTTTTATAGTTGACACACATATTTTAAATAGTCTGAAAAAAATTCGTACAAAGTTTTAAGTTAATCTAAATAATAAAACAGAAGTTTTTATCGTTCGTTAAAAGACTTTTTTAGATTTTAGTTTTTTCGTTTGTTTAAATCGGTGAATTCAAGTTTTTTTACATTCTTCGTTACCGTATTCCATATTCCCACATGTTTATAATAATATTGATTTTTTTGAAGTGAAAACTTCTTTAGGTGCGTTGAGCGTTTTGGTAGAGGTTAAAATTTCTTCTCAATGATAACTGCAATCGAAGAAATAATTACCAAATTATTATCTTCGTCTGTTGTTTTTTTTTCAGCGTGAGGGTTTTCACTCAAGTAAATGACAAATAATAGCAGGTGTAAAATTTATAACTTATCACAGCTATGACTACCAATCGAAATATGAAACTTGATGTCAAACGAGATAGAGTTAGACTGCAATTCAGAGACTAAAAAATAAATAAAAGAAAAAATAGTCGAAGCATTGAAGATAACAAATGACCATTTTTTCTATTCTTTTACCAATGTAGCAGCAATATTTGGGGGGTTAGGAATGAGAAAACATTAGAGTTTAGTAGTTGTCCTTATGCGGGATAGAATGTCACTCGCAAAAAGTTTATATTGAGATGACGATTAAACAACTCCAAAGTAATCAACTCAAGTAATCGAGGTAAAATAACTGATATAATACAAGGATCCATTATTTGACAATATTAATCTTGCACTAAAATTTATTCGTTCTCAAAGAAACCTAACCATTCGAGATTTTCGGCATCAACACCAATTAGGAAGTAAAGTCATATTTTACACTATTAATGATTTAAGCTTGATGCAATCCTTTTTTCATGATTACCGTTTGTAACTATCATATGTTATATGTTCATTGCAGTTATCCACTATGTTACCTGTGATTCGTGTCATACATCAAACTTTACTGGATTCCGCTATCGATGTCAGAAATGCTATTCTTATCAATTATGCCAAGATTGTTTTTGGAGAGGACACGTTTCTGGAAGCCATAGCAATGATCACGAGACCAAAGAGTATAGTAATTTCGTAAGTTATTTGCTAAATAGTAAAGGAATAATCATTGATATGTTAAATTCGATCTTGTAACTGAAGTACTTTACTGATTTGAGGATCAAAAAATGTCGTTTTCAACCATTTCTAGAAATCTCCGAGTAGACAAATTGGTCATTCACTACGGAAAAGTTTCAAATGTATGCCAGAAAAAGGAAAAAATAATATTCCTCGATTTCCCGACGAACCAGAGAAAACATTGGACCTTTCACATATTGTGTAAGTGTTTTATTCAACATTCCGATCATTAATCGCTAAGGTTGAATACTGTAAATCATATATTTTATTGTTTTAATGAGCATCTTTTGATTATTTATTAATTATAAAATCTAGTTCAACTGTTTATGTGCTACATCCGATGTTCATGCCAATGCTCTTCGTGCTCTAGAAAGTGTTTAATTTTTATTAAAATATAATAAAATTTATTCTTTACGAACTTTAGATCTTTATAATTATTAATGAAACGTCAAATCAAAAGGACTTAGATGTTTTGCTGAAGGAAAAAAAAATGCCAACGGAATGCAGCGATTATGGAAGTCTTGTTACTATCTTTACTGCCAAGTCATGCAGCACGATGCACCCACGCATTTTTTATTGATAGTAGCAATTGAAAAACAGATAAAAAATTGATTAATAAATTGTCTGATTTATTCTAAGTAATATATCTTATTACAAACTATAATAAATATCATTGTATTAAACAATTCTTCAAACCAAATTTGGTAGGTAACAGAATATAGAACATTTTTTAAAGCGTTGTCCACGTAAAAATATTGATTCACAAGCACAGATATAATCGAACGAATTCAATTTGAATTAAAAACTAAACGAAAACGGAATTTATACTATTATTTTAAGTTCTTTTGATAAGATTTTTTTCCATCCTGAATAACGTAATTATCTACGTAACATGAATAGTAATGAACTTTTTTTGTAATAGAAATTGAATTTTCTAAATATACAGTTAAGAGCCGGAGCTGTGCAATAAATTTACGGGCGGGATATTAATTTCCAACAAAGCAAATTTACTCACTACATAAGATGAATATAAAAAATTATTTGCGTTTATCAAAAATGAACCGTTGTACACAAGCAGAAATTAAATATCACAATAAATTCTAGATTTTTTTGTTTATTATCAATACTCACGAATATGTTACTTTTCTTTAATACCATCACGAAGCAATTCGTTCTTATTCCCGTCAATTCGAGACAATCGCTCGTCTGCATGAGTGGACAAATGTAGTTAAAGCATCGATTATAGTATCCTGTTTGAAGGAAAAAGCTCAAGTTATTTTAGAAAATTTGAGTTTAGAAGATTTAGGGAATTTTAAAAAATTGAAAAAAATTTTGGAAGATCGTTTTGGTAAAGCTCAATTTTCTAGAGCTTATTTTAATCATTTCCAGGCTAGAAAACAGTCTGAAAATAAAAATAAAACGAGCTTTTCAAATGATTTGGATAGGCTTGTCAAATTTGCGTTTCTTTCGGTCTCTTTTGAAGAGAGAGATAAAATTGCTGGTTTGCAATTCATTTCTGGGCTAAAAACATTGAAGTTATAATTTTCTCTCCGTTCGAAGAGAATTGAGTCTCTTCATTTAGCAACTAAGAGAGCTTTAGATCGTGAGTCGATTGAAGATTGGCCCTTTGGAGGTCAGAATAAAAATTTTAATAATAAGAATAATAATAATAATAATTTTAGTGAAAATATTAATAATTTCAATAAAAATAATAATTTTAGAAATAATTCCAAAAAAGATAATAAAAATAATTCGTTTAAAGGAAATTTTAGGTCGAATTCTCAAAATCGAAATTCTTCGCAAATTTTTCAATGTTGGATTTGTGGTGAAAAAGGACATTCTAAGAAGAATTGTTAAATTCTCCATGCTGTTCAAGCCAGTTCATCAAATATTCATAATTCTCATAAGTCTACTGGTAAAGGTTCATCCGAAGAAAAATTTCGTTAAAACGAAAAATTAATTCAATTGATTTTCCTTATTCATCTGGTTCTTTTAAACCGAAAATTTTACTCAGAAGAGAAGTAAATAGGAAAAAATGTATCATGACAGTCGACACTACTGCTGATATTACGGTTGTTAATTCTTCTTTGTATAAAGGAAAGGTAACTGTCTCGAATGATTCTTCCGTTTCTCATTCTATTGTTACACTTTCAGGCGATTAATTTGATTTTTATTTTATCGAGACTGTAGAAATAAAGATTTTCAATATTAAGGTTAATTTAAAGGTTGTTCTTGCTGAAATTGGAAAAGAATGTATTTTAGGATTAGATTTCTTAATCAAGTCTGGTTTATTTACTGAATTCAAAGATCTTCTTGATAAAAAATTCTTAGAAGGTAATAAAGTTGTTCCAATTGCTAGAATTAGTTCTTCTTTGAATAAACTCTCCGAATTTGTTTTAGATTTGTTTGAAAGATCTTCAAAATTATTGAATGTCAATGATAAATTTCATTTTGAAGAACTTTTATTGAAGAATTTGGATATTTGTGCGAAAAATTCTTTTGATTTAGGAAAGTGCAAAAATTTACAACGTAAAATTAATGTTGGAAATGCACTTCCTATTAAACAGGCTCCTCGTCGTATTCCTTCACGTTAAAGGGATAAAGTTGATTCAGTTATGGAGAAAAGAAAACAACAGAATATAATAGAACCATGTAGTGGCCTTCGGGCTTCTTCTGTTGTTCTTGATCCAAAAAAAGATGATGAAATTAAATTTTGTGTTGACTATCGTAAATTAAACGATGTCACAGTTAAGGATTAAACACCAATTCCCCATCAAGAAGACATATTGAAAATGGTTCTTGGTGCTCAATGGTTTTCAACCGTTGATTTAAAAAGTGGATATTGGCAAGTTGAAGTTGCTCCAAAGGATAGACCTAAAACTGCTTTTTGTATTTGGAATGAGGTTTGGCAATTTAAGGTTCTTTTTTTTTGGCTGTGTAATGCTCCTGCCACCTTTGTTAAACTTATGAACATTGTTTTAAAAGGTTTTCTCGGTAAAATTTGTTTAGTTTATTTGGATGATATAATTATCTTCAGTAAAAGTCTAAATGAACATTTTATTCATCTTCAAAATGTTTTTTAAAGACTTTTACAAGCTTTTCTCAAAATAAACCCTAAGTAATGTATATTTTTTCAAAAAAAAAAGTTATTTTTCGTGGACATGTAGTTTCTGGTGTTAATTGGCCTATTCCTAAAAATCAATCTGAACTTAGAAGTTTTCTAGGTCTTTGTTCTTATTATAGAAAATTCGTCAAAGATTTTAATCGTAAACGTAACTACTGTGTTACCAGGAAAGAATTATTAGCTTTTGTTATTTCTGTTGAACATTTTTGTCATTTTCTTCTTGGCAAGAGGTTCACTATTAGAAGTGATCATGCCTCTCTCACTTGGTCACTTTCGTTCAAAAATCCTCAAAATCGAGTAGATCGTTGGTTTAAAATCTTATTCTAATATGACTTCGAAGTTTAACATAGACTTGGTCATAAACATGGTAATGCTGATGGTCTATCTCGACGTCCATGTGATTGTAAAAAATGTCTCGAAATAGATTCTGATGAAAAATTTAATAGTAGGCATATTTTCCGTGTCATTTGTGAAATTAACAATGATTCTGATTGAATCAAATTTCAAAATGACGATAACATTTTGAGTTTGATTATTAAATTTAAAAAGGAAAATAAAGTTCCTAAGTTTAATGATGTTTTACATTTGGATTCTACTTTTGAAATTCATTTACTTTATTAGAATTCTTTAGAATTAAAAAATGGTGTTTTAGTTAAACGTTGGGAAGCTCCAAATCTTTCTCATATTATTTTTTAGGTTGTCATTCCTCGAGCTGAAATGAATGAAATAATTTATGAGGCTAGTAAATATCCTTCTGGTGGTCATTTTGGTATTGATAAAACAATTTTAAAAATTCGTCAACGATTTTTCTGGGCAACTCTTAAACAAGATGTTGAGATTTAGTGCAAAAAATGCAAAGTTTACTTCGCTAAAAAAGGTCCTTATAAAAAATTTTGTGGTCAACTTCAAATTTACAATACTGGCTCTCTTTTTAAAAGGGTTGCTATCAATATCCTTGGTCCTCTTACTAAAACCTCTTCTGAAAATAAATTTTTACTTGTTGTTACAAATTATTTTACTAGATGGCCTGAGGCAATTCCTCTACTTAATCATTAGGCTTCTACTATTGCTGAGGTTTTAGTAACTCAAATATTTTGTAGATATGGTGTTCCTATTGAAATTTCTCCTGATCAGGGTCGAGAATTCGAATCTGAAATCTTCAAGGAGGTCATGAGTCTTTTTGGTATTAAGAAGACAAGAACCACACCTCTTCATCCTCAATCAAATGGTTTGGTTGAAAGGTTCCATAAGACTATTCTTCAATATTTGTGTAAACATATTAATAAGAATCAAAAAGATTGGGATAAGTGGATTTCTTTATTTTTATCGGCCTATTGTTCTTCAAGACATAAGACTACTGAGTATTCATCAATTTTGTTGATGTTAGGTCGTGAATTCAGGTTGCCTATTGATCTTCTTAGAGGAATTAATCCTTCAGATAATTCTTTTGAGGATAATTCTACAACTGATTTTGTTTTTAATCTTCGTGAACCATTAAAGATTATTCATGATAATGTACGTGATAAGTTGCAAATTAAATCAGAAAAACTTAAGTGTATGTATGTTTTGAAATCTAATGTTCTTTCTTTTGATGTCGGTCAAAAAGTTTGGTTATTTTTCCCTAAAAGAGTTGAAAAAAATGTCCAAAACTTCAATGTGAGTGGGAAGGTCGATATATTATCAAAAACAAACTTAATGATGTTGTATTTCGAATTTATAAAATTCCGAATGGTTGTTTGAAAGTTTTTCATGTGAATAGACTCGCTCTGTATGATAATGATGAATCATTGTTGACTTTTTCTGGATTCCTAATTTTATGTTGAATTTAGGGTTTATGTAACTTCCAGTCTGAGAATGATAGCTCTCATTGATCATTCGATTGTTGATTCAACGTTACAATATCTGTCCTGCAGCGTTCTCGTGGAGTTATTTTAGGATATACACAGTTGAAGTCATCGTACCGGAATACATTTCTTCATTTATTGGCCAAAGGGAAGCAAAGTGGGGTACTAGATGTCCATGGTATCCTATTATTTTTGTTCGGATAGTATACGTAACTGTGAGCCCAATTTTGAAT